AGCTATTTTCTGACTTTCGAAAGACTAATTAAAATATTACTAACGAGGAGGCCTTATCATTATTCTGTTTGCCTTTTAGCAATATGTTTTCTAAAAAATTAATGAAATTAGGCAAAAAAAATTAATGAAATTAAGAAAAATAGTTTCTTATTAAAATATATAAATATATATATAAATAAAGAGAAAATTAAATAATAATTTATGAAATCAAAAAATATGTTTGCATAAGATATGTATCAAAAAATTAAATTAGTAAAAAGAAAATTTTTCTTTTTAAAACAATAAAATTGTAAAATTAAAAGAAAATTATACCTAAAAAAAGAAAAAATTTAAATTAAATTCAACAAAAAAAGTATTTTTCTTTTTAAAATAGTATAATATAAAATTCAAAAGAAAGTTAAATTTTAAAAGCTCTTTTAAGAGAAAAAATATTATATAAGTTCCTACAAACTCAATGAAATTAAATGAGTATATTTTGCTCTTTAAAACAATAAAATATAAAAATTAAAAGCAAATGAATTTAAAAAGAGAAAAAATAGTAATTTTAAAAATATAAGATTAATAGAACAAGTTTACAAAATTTAAATGAAATTAAAAACTAAATTTTGTCTTTTTAAAACAATCAAATCTTAAAATCAAAAGAAAATTTTATAAAAAACCAAAAAAAGAAAAATTAAAAATTAGGTAAAACAAAAAAAAAACTTTTTTTTCTTTTCAAAGGAATATATTAAAGGAAAACTAAACAAAAATAGGCTCCTTAAAATTAAATGAGATTAAAAAGAAGTATTTTTAAAACAATAAAAAAATTTAAATAAAGTAACTTTTTTTATTACTTACTTAAACATTTCTTTTTAAAACAAAAAAAAAAAAAAATATAAAGAAATTTAAATTAAACAAAGGAAAAAAGAAATTCCGCTGACCGAAGACTCGAACTCGGATCTCTCGAATGGCACTTTGCTCACTCGGCCACTGCGACTAGGACTGCGAACATTTTTTAAGAAGTTTATAATATTTTTCAAAAAAATATAGTACATAGTCTTCAAATCTTAGCCAGAATTGCCCTCTATTACTAATTTTAATACTAATCTATTTCATTTAAAAATTCGACTACTTCTACACACACACGTTCAGCAAGCGCTTTGGAAGCTACCGAGCAAAAATACTAATAAAAATACTCCGTACGGATTTCGGCGATTAATTTTTAATTTGTAAAAACCAAACCTTTTAACTTTAAATTTTTGTTTAATATACGAATTTTTTCAGGTGTTACAATACTGCTCTCTCAAACAGTTTTCTCGCTATTGGTTGGTAATGTCATTACAAAGACGAGCGAAGCCGTGCCGCTGTTAGGTAGAGTCTGAAACTTTTCGATCTACAAATGCAATTTACAATTTACAAATTAAAAAACAACCGTAATTAACGAATATACAACGAAATTCTGAGAATTCAATTAAAAACAATTATAAAAATTCGTAGTATTTGAAAAATAAATAACTCAGAAACTAAAAACAATTAGACATTTTGAGCTCTCTTCTCTCTGGCTAATGATGACTAACAACACTCTTTTGGCAGCTTGCATTTGTTAAGTACAACTAAGCGATTGCTAATTGTTGACTGTATTCTGAATAGTAAATCACACTGAATCTATAGTAAATCTTCTACTACTGTTTGAAAGCGTGCTGCCTGCATTAAAAAAAAAA